CTACCCAATATGAAAGCCACTCCATACCCCAGATAAATGGTGAGTGAAGTCAGACTATTTGTTGTATGCATCTTCTGTAGGTCATATGTGAAGTGTTGGCACAAATACATGTACACTGGCTCTTTAGTCAGTTAACAGTCTTGTGCGAATAAGATAAACATTTTAATGTGTGTTCTGAAGTACTTCCACATGTGAAGCAACTTTAGGACATGAAAATGAGATCTCTTATTCAAAATCTAAAAGTATCCCTTCCTTGTGTCACAATAAAGATTCTGGGTCATAAAGAAAAATCCATTTGTATGACTATCTAAAGAATATCTGCAACATACATAGGAATCCCCAACATATATGTGAATAACACACAGTTAACACGGAGATTAATTTTATAAAATACTCAAATTAAATTATATGCACTTAATAAATATGCATATATTCCAGCCTTACAATTTAAATTAAAAAATCCATTAAAAAACTGTATTTGCCTGACTAAATTTTTTTCCTTTCTGACACATTTGTCAATGCTATCTTCTCCTAGTAGAATTATGCTAAGAAAATACAAGTATCCTAGTAAATACATATCCCAGTGTGTACATTGAGAGAGAGAGAATAAGCACAGAAAGCAGAGATAAAATATCCTACATTGCTCGTGAGCACTGAACCCTAACTTTCCAGATGTCCACCCTGACCTTTGCTCACGTGGATGGTGAATATTTTATATATATCATCTTATATATATATATATATATATATATATATATATATATATAAGTATCATAAGATCAACTTAGCTTTCATAGCCTGATGCTTGTGAACAACTCTACAATTAATTACAAGACGCGTATAAGAAGCATGGCAAACTCACACCCATTGAATGACTATGTAAGAGTACTCCCAAGGGCAGTGCCATTTGTGAATACCCTTTCTTGTTACAACAAAGCACACAAAATGAAGGGTTAAAACTTCTAATGGGTACTATTCCTCTTTTAGCATACTGCCATTGATATAAATGAACTCCCAGTGGTGCAGTGGTTACAGTGGTTAAGCATTTGGCTGCTAACCAAAAGTTATCCGGTTCAAACCCACCAGCTGCTCTGCGGGAGAAAGATGTGGTAGTCTGCTTCTGTAAAGATTTATAGACTTGGAAACCCTATGTTCTACTCTGTCCTTTAGGGTCACTATGAGTTGGAATCGACCCGATGGCAGAGAGTTTTGGCCACTGATGTGCTTAGAGTTCTTCCAGGGATACAATTAAGCAGTTTCTCTACTGTTGTAAGCATCCTCTGGGTGTAAGCAACAAAAATTATAAGGTATAGTCTTAAAAACAGATCATCTGTAATGACTGAATTACTCTGCATATGCAGAAATTAAGTTTATTCTTAAATTGTATCCAGAAACCATCTAAGTTTCCTGGCAAGCTGGGAGACAAAGGCATCACCTAATCCTCTGATGCAAGAATAAGAAATGCTCCTAACAAATTTCCAGAGCTTCTGTGAGGCAGTTCTCCTAGTCATTATCCTTCAGGATACAGGCAGCGTCAGCGCTAATTTTGATTCCCTAAAAAAATGAGCAATTATGCAGTCATCATGATCCCCCGACCAAGACAGCAAATTGAAGACATGAGCTACGACAGCTTTCCCACTCTTTGTGGTTCCTAAATAAACTGTTGTCTGTCTACCTTCCACCCCAGAAAATTACAAATATATTTTAGTCACCCCTTTATCCAGGATTTTCTTCTACATCAATGAGTTTTTGAAACAGATCCCAACTTAGAAATAATGCTTTAGGTTTGTCTGTTTTTCTAATCTAGCAAATGACCCACCAAGACATTCCCGACAACAACTCAGCAGACATATGAATTTTCAGAAGTGATCAAATATTAATAGCTGTGAAAGACTAGGGTAGAAACGGCTACTTTCTTTAGAAGAAGAAGACATAGTACAGGTACCAAGCTGGCAAGCAGTGATAAAAGGGTAATTTTAGAAAGCATTCTGTTCCTAAACAACAGTGCTCATAAAACACAGCCACGTACAAGGAACAAGAAACAATGTTCTCGTTTCTTTAACACTGCTTTAAGTCCAGTCAGAAAAACAAAGCTCTGGCACTATTCTGGGCTCTATGAACTACAGCACTCGAGAATGATAATAAATGCTTATTATACACCAGGAAACTCACTAAGCATTTAAAATAATTTCGGCCTCATCACAGTGTTGAAGTAACTGAGGCAAAGAGCTTCAGTAACTAGTCCAAGGCTACACAGTCACTTAGTATACTTACAATAAAACATCAGCTAAAATATTTTAAGTATACTGAACACTTTAGGCTTTAAAATCACTTTGTAGGTTTCACTTATGACACCTTCAGACAAGAGGAACATGACCAAAGATGAATTATGCATAGTATTTAAGTCATGAGGAATTGGAGATTTGAGTCTGTGGCAAAGGGAGAAATAGCCAGTTATCCTGATGCTTTTACGGCATACCACAAGCAAGGCCTTTAACATGAATTTTACTATTCTGTTCAACACTCAGAATTTTAACATCTCCACAAAGATTTATCATGGTTTTTTTTTTTTTTTTTAAATCATTTATCTGAATAACAAAATACAGCTGGGGAAAATTAACTGTATATGGGGAGGAGCTTGAGGTAGTGTCACTGGAGTTGATCAGACCTTCAATTATAGTATAAGCTGCCTGAGGGAGATAAGTGGGACTAGTTAACTAATTTATGACCTAACCATTCAAACCTGTATGAAATAAATTTACATTACAAATCAGAACGAGGGTGTCGTATTTTGATGAAAGGGTTAAACTCCTGCTTGAAGCTCTGTTCCTAGCAGCAGTCTGCCACTGATTTTGGTCCTCCTCAGTGAGCTGAGCAGACGTTCTCAGCTACAGGAAGAAAAGCTGCCCATGCCAGACGGTGCTTTCTGGGAGTTAGCCACATTATTTATAGTGTTCGGATAGCAACTGAAAACACAGTCAAAATCCGCTTTCTAAAGGAAAAATAACAGTGTTTCATCCATGAGGAAAGAATACGTATCACATAATATAGGGAAAAGATCTCTGTGGGACACATTCTGTGGGTCCTGCGTACCTGTTGCTATAGGAGAAGAATAACCACAGCACTTGCTAGTCACGGAAGCCAGGTACACAGAGCTGAACTACTTCATTTAGAGGCTTTCCTGACTTGCTTCAGCTGTTGAGTTCCAGTGCTCCAGCATCAAATCCACTATAAACTACTCAGTTGTAATTTTCATTCTATACCTGCAAAACCCCTAATCCACGCCAAATCAAAACCAAACCAAACAAAAACAGGAAAAATTATTTCTGTTACAGTTCTATGAGGTTATATCTGTATCTTTGAGAACCAGCCATCATGGGGCTCGTTCACTCAAACAGGCCAGATTTGCATTTAAAGTGTTATCCATATGAAAAAGAGGACCAGAATCATATATTACGTCCTAATTCCACTGTGGAAATTAAAAAGACTACAGGCTCGCTATGAGTCGGAATCGAAAATGGCAGCGGGTTTTTTTTTTTTTTTTTTTGGTTTAGACCTCTAGTAAGTCATGAGCTGAGACAGAACATCCTGTTAATGCAGGGCAACTACTTCTGTCTCCAACTGTTTTAAATTTAACTTCTCTTTTAAATTTAGTTAAATGATGAAACAGCAGAAACATCAGGGAAGCTTATTTTATTTGCCGTGCTTCAGCCTCTCCAATACATGATTTTTCCACAAAGAATATAATGTATCACTCCTTCTTTGATGAGAATGTTAAATCTTTTTATCAAGATCTGACCCTGCAACTACTCATGAAAAGCATCAATATTTTTTAAAGAGTGGGATTTCTCAAAGAACAGCTGCCTTTCTGTGGCAAACAACATTTGGATCTAACTCAAATATGATTTTGAGCATCTCTTACTCACAAACGTCCTGTGCTTATGGATGGACATCTTTATACAACTTTCACAGCCAACTGGTCCTGTATCCATTAATCACTCTCAGAAGTAATCTTCCTGCACTTGCTGAACTAAAAATGCATCTTTGTCCGTCAATAACTTGACGTTTTTGAAGAGCTCAGGGCCAGGTATTTTGTAGAATGTCCCTCAAAGTGGGTTTGTCTGGTGTTTCCTCATGTTTAGATCCGGGCTACACATTTATGTCAGGAACATTACAGAAGTATTATTGTGTCCTTCTCATCACAGCAGGGGGCAAATAGTGGTGATTTGTTCCAGTACTGGTGATGTTAACATTGACTGCTTGGTTAAGATGGTGTTTACCAGGTTTCTCTACTGTGAAGCTTAAGAAAAACAAAGACTGAGCAACCTTTCCAGATTAAAAGTGGATTACAGAGACATGATAACTAAGTGCAACTTATGTTATTAGGTTGGATTTTGGACCCAGAAGAAGGTGAGACAATTGGGGAAATTTGAATAAGGCCTGTATATTAGACAGCAGAAATGCATCAATGTTAAATTTCCTTATGTGGATAATTATACAGTGGTAATGCAAGAGAGTATTTTTGTTTTTAGGAAATACACATTAAAAGATTTAGAGGTAATGGAGTATTACATCTGCGACTTACTCTCAAGTGTTTCAGAAAAAAATTAAGAGGAGTGAGGGAGAAAGGGAGATTGATAAAATGAGTATCATGTTAACATTTGGAGGCTCTATGTAAAATATATGGTAATTCTTCGTACTGTTTTTGCATCGTAAGGTCTGAAATTGTTTCAAAATAAGAAGTTAAAAAAAAAATGTGTGTCAGGTTTAGGCCCAAGAATTTAATGAATTAAGGAGGTTTTTAGGTAGTAGGAGGAAGTTCCCAAAGCTGAACTCTAAGTCATCTCTTCTGTTTAAATGCTAAGCCACTCATTCAGAGGAAGAGGCAGGAAGGGTTTGGAAGGTAATGTTACAGGGCCTTAAAGTAAGAAAAATAATAGGAAAAAGTTGTTCAAATGTATATACTTAATAATAATAATAATAAAAAGTAGTATACTCACTGTCCAGTCCAGGATGGCTGATTGTCATTAATGAGATGGATTTTGTCAATGGAGAAGAAATGGCTGAGGTACAGTAATTAAATCCCTGTTGTTTAGATCTGTGGCTTGTCTGTGAAGTAAAAAATTGAAAAACAGGTTCTGAGTACATATGTTTTCCTACTGCTAGATAAGCACAACATTTTAAGCTCGGACACAACATAGCGAAATAATGCAGTATAGAAGGGGGTTTAAATAGCTCCAGCTTGGTAGACAGACTTGAATTCAAGTCTCTGCCCCTGCCCCTAACAGCTGTTCAACTTCAGAGATGTTACTTCGCTTTTCTGAGCCTCAGTTTCGTCTGTAAAATGGGGACAGAGTATCCATCCTTTATAGTGGTTTTAAGTCTTTGTTTCCTTCACAGCATCTAACAATGTCTCAAACACAGTAAGCGCTTAATAAACAGTCACTGAATACATAATCAGATAAACATAATTTCACTGGAAACATCAAACTACATACAGTACTTGTTCTTTGAAAATCTCAATAACCATTACAGAGATATAGTAGAGTACAACTAATATTATTCTGATTTTAAAGACTTGGAAACTGAAGTGCAAATAAAAACTGTTGCCTGATCAACAGAAAACCAGCAATGCATCTGGGAAGAAGCCGGAATCTCTTTCGTTTTTTCCTCTAAGATTAGACTGCATTAGAGGTTGACTGAATTTGATAATTTAACTGCCTCGGTAAGTTCACAGCAGCTTCAAGGCCGCGTATTCCAAAAACTGCAGAAGTTCCTGCTACAATATCCCGGAATGACAGTCAACTAGTGTCTGCCAGCACACTTCTGGTGATGCAGGGCTCCCTCCCTCCCTTTTTGTTTTGAGTTAACTAACTTTGTCATAAATCCATTCCCTTAGAGTAGGTTGGAATTTAGGACTCCCACATACGGAAAAGGGAAGCAATGAAGAAAACCCGTTACTAGTACGAACTTGGCTCAACTGCACCAAAGACTTTTGATTACTTAAGAGCGTGTTCCACATGTACCATGGAATCTGAGGCAAACAGTTGCTATGTTTCAAAAATGACCTCACTGAAAGGCAGAGAGACTTTCAAAAGGAAGGTGGCTGGAGGCAACTTGTCCAGATCAGTGATATAAACAGCTCAAATACCCTCTCTGAGGTTGCACACAAGATGAAACAGTTTGGGTGGTCAGAGAGTTCCAGGAAGGCCAAGCACTCGAAGGCGCTAAAGTGTCAGTAACTTTAGAAAGACTGAATCAAAAAAGCCATTTTAGAGGGACATCATTGGTAATTAACATCACTTACTGAAAAGACAGTTTTCTATCAAATTAGTCTCAGAAAAGGTGTCATGTAAACAATATCAGAAAATTAACATTTTTTCATTTCCTCATTAACAGGAGTTCTGAGTTTAATAGCATTCAACTAATAGCTAGTTATGTGGCCTCAGACAAGTCACTTAATTGGGCTTGAAGTTCTCATACGCAAGGGTTTGAGCTGAATCCAAATGGATATACTGGTCCTAAGTCTATGATTCTGTCCACAAACCCACAATTTTGGTACTTACCTGATTTCCGAAGGATTCTATACACTGAAATGCAATTTATCTTTCAGATTTTCTAGTGTTGTGTTTACCTTTATCATCAAAGTTGTTCGCAGTAGCTACCAAACAATTGTTCCTTCCCGTTTGTTACCATTAGGCTAAATAAATTGAAATTACTTGCTCCAATAAGCATATTCTCCATAGCCTCATTATTATTATTATTATTTTTAACTTGTCCTGAAGTACCAGGCCAAGAAGAAATGGAAAAAGAAGGAAAAAAAAAAAAAAAAGGCGGTAAAATTCTTTCAGGCCTTTAGTTTGCTTTTCATTAGGCCTAAATTCTCTTAGGCCCTCACACAAACATAAATGACACACTCATTACTAAAGTAATCCTTCAGTGTCACATTTATATTTCGTTAATCGTACTGCTATGTAGTAGGATGTAATTAAAAAATCAAATTTTTACACAAAACCCCAATTACCTATTAAAGAACTGGTGTCTACCATTTTTAAAGTTAGTTTGTTTAATTAGAAATGTTTCATTTGGAGGAATTAAGGTGTATTCTAGAATTCTCTCAGGAATTAATCCAAAATTTCCTTAGCCCAAAAAGGGGAAAAAAGGACTGGGAGTAGGATGCTATAAAAGCATATAATTCAAATTCTCAACCCCAAAGCTCCCTGGGGGACTGTCAAAGTGGTAAGTGATAATGAGGGGCCTGAGAAGATGAGAACTACAAAAAGTCACTTGATTGGCTGACAAGGAAGCCTTTTATGACCTTTAAGACAGGAATTTCAAGAGCGCAATGGTGGAAATTAAGAAATGATTAGGTGGTGAGAAACAGAAGGTAAGGAATATAAACCATTCTCTGAATAATTCTGGCAGTGATAAGCAGAGGAATAAACAGTTGTTTTCTGGACAGCGTAATAAAACAAAATTGTGTATGTGTGTGTGTGTGTTTAAGGAAGGAGAAATCTAGAATATGTTTTTGAGAATTAGGACATTTAATAACATGTAACATACTTCAAGACTCATTTTACCAATGAGGTAGTAAAAGAAGGCTTGGACAGGAAGGAAAAACTTGACTTAATAACCTAGATACTTTCCTAATTTTAAAAGTCTCCTCTGATATAATATTTAAATCTATGCAGATTAAAGATATTTTTTAATTAGTATTAAGTGCTAAAAACTTTTGTGCTAGATTGGTGGTATCATCCAATGGGTAAACAACCACTGCTACTAGCCTTACACTAACAGATTTTTGCCTTTCATGTGAGCTCATATTTTAGGAAATAAAACAAATATTTTTCAAAATTAGTAACATATACCTGGTTTCAGCCTTACCTGCTGGTCAAACATCCTACGTTCTCTCTGGCCTGACTCCAGATCCTCTTCTGAAAGTGACACCAAAGAGTCACCCCGCGCCTCAACACTGAAGGGATGCCTGAGCTCTTTGGTATTTGCAGAGTTTGCTTCTAGAGATGAGGATGGCTTGTTTCTGACATCAGCTCCTCCTGTCAAGCCTTCAAGACTGAAACTAAACACAGGGCCCAAGCGTTAATTCGTTCGAGTCTCAGAAAGGAAGGACGACACAAATCCCTCTAGTTGTATCTCCCTTGCTTGTATATTATTTCTAGTCCCTTAGCAAAATTATTTACAAGGCCACTGCACAAATGAGTACTACCTACCTGTCCCCCCAAAGGCCTTGGTATGCTGACAGAGAATACTAATGACGCACGTAGATTTTCTTACCTCACTCAGGTTATCCCAATGTTGAACCATCTACGATTTTTTTCCTCAGATTTTTTTCAACATACCATGTAGACAGATCATATTTATCAGTCCTTTTACATATTAAATACTTTTCCTCAGGCTGATGTATCAGGTTTTGCCACAGTTCAGCTCTGCTATGCCAAATAATTAAATGGCACAGAGAAAATATTAGCACAAGTAACTTTTGGAAGGCAAACCACGAGACTTGCCTTTGCACCCATTAAACTGACCTTTATAACTTTACATTCAACTATATCCTTCTTGACCTTTATAACTTTATAGGCATGCTTCCACCCTAGAAACCCAAGGATTACTCATGAGCTTTATCATCTGTGCACACCTGGCTGGGCAACAATTGCTTGACAGGTTTTCTGAGAATTGTTAGTTGCAGGCAAGCACATACAACACCTTAAAAGACCAAAAAAAAAAAAAAAAAAGCTGAAAGCTACTAAGTCTAAGAGCTTCACACTTTTTTTGTCTTACTCTTGGCAAAGAAAAAAGAAAGCAAACTTAGGCTTTGGTATTTTAAGTGGGATCACCGGTATAAAGATTTTGTGGTTGGCAGAGCCACCAGGAAGCTACAACCACATAAGCTTGTTTTAGCCTTCTACAGAGAAAGGTTAGTGATATAGTGTCCTCCTTGGGGTTGCTAGCTAGAATAATTCACATCTGTAACAACTGCAATGGAATGGAAACCTCTTTTAAATAAGTCAGATCTCAAAATACAGTTGTAGCTGACAGTATCTTCAGTTACAACCAGCTGGAACTGGACTTGAAAGTATACTGAAGCTACTTAATTACCTCTGCTCAGGAAAAACTGTAGTTAATTGCTACAAATAAGTTCATTTATGCCAGTCCAGAAAAGTTTGTGTTTGCTTTTTTGGTTTCATAAATTGCTTATTATGAACTGAGGCCACATGCCTCTATTTTCTTTAATTGGTAAATTAAACAATAGATTTTGTTACTTCAATATGACAACAGAAATCACGACTAACTGTACTCTGTAAAACTTATTTTCAATGCCAGGAATAAGAAGAGGGGCCAAGTGAAGAAGAAATTTATTTACTGTGAATTATTTGAAAAGCCTGAGAAAACCAGATCTGTGCTTACCATGAAACTTAATTCTAAAAATGTTTTAGTAATTAAATCTGGCTGCTTAGTTGAGAGAGGTACCTGAAACAATTAGTCTCTGTGAATTTGGAATCTAAAGAGATTGGTGAATTTTGAAGCAAAACAGAAATAAGTACATCTTATTAGTTGTCTTGCTTCTCTTATTGTTTTCCTCCAAATTCCTGGCATCTGGGAGTTAAGACAGACCCAAACAAACAGAAAAGTGGTCTACCACACCATGGAGACAAGTCTGTGCAGAAAACACTGTATCTATAGACACTTAAGACAAATAGGATGCACTGGGGTACACCATCCAATTCCTAGGCTTACCCCTTCACAGCTGGGTTAGTGATGCCCATAGTGGAGGCAACGGAACACTGTGCTCACAGACAAAGCAGGCTGCCCATATGCATTCCAGCCACAAAGAAGCCAGCTCCAAGACAAAAGCCCAGATGCCAGTTTTTATGGTTCCCCCTTTGATGGCTGGACACGTAATGATACCATACCTTCTGCAGGTAAAGTCAGCACTCAGGGCAGCAGAGTATTGCACACCAGAAGGACACCAGCTCATACTGAGGATGACATCAAAGGCAGAAATAGAAATGGAGGGAGAAGAGAGGAAACAGGGACAGGGTTATTGGATTTAAAAAGGGCATAGTTAGAGACAGATAGATTTATTTAATCAATAAAAAACATGGGAATGTAATACTGACTCAGAATTTAGAGAACAGCTAGAATAAGAACTGTGGAAACCTAAAATTGTTCTACTCATGTCCATCTATAATAACGTGTTAGAAATGAGTACGTGAGCACTTTACAAGGTAACGAGTTCAACCTGAAACTCAGGAATTCCTTTTAGAGGACTGCTGGCTTCCTCTTGAGGCATTTTCAAAGAGGTGCTGCGACCTCCACTATTGGGAACAACCTCTCTTTACATCCTACTCCTCCCATGCCACCTGTACTGCAGTATCCATAATGACAAACTGCACTGGGATGGGCTCACTCAGACATCAGGTTTTTTTTCGTGTGTGTCCATTAAGGATCCATTTAACCAGATAATTCAGAAATCCTTCACGATTACCCAATCAACATTCAGATCCATCTTCAAACACCACTCACTAGGCTCTTAAGTTAAAACATGTAAGTGGTTACGTTTCCCTGAAGGGATTTTATTTAATTTTTTTTAAAAAAGGAATTTTATAGTATTGAGTTAGAAATGTACCTTTTTAAATTTTAGGTTTGTATCCATTTCCCAGAAGTCCCTGGGTGGCGCAAATGGTTAAGCACTCGACAAAATGCTTGAGGTTGGAACCCACCCAGAGGCTCCTTGGAAGACAGGACTGGTGATTTGCTTCTGAAAGGTCACAGCCTTAAAAATCCCTATGGAGGGGTTCTACACTGCACCCATGGGGTCGCCGTGGATCAGAATCAACTTGATGGCAACTAACAACAACAATCTATTTTCCCCCACATAATTTAAAAAAAATTCATCTACTTCGATTATTTCAACATTGATATCTATTCTCAAGTAGCCTAAGTCTAAGTTCGTTGCCGTCGAGTCGACTCTGACCCGTAGTGAACCTACAGGACAGAGTGGAACTGCCCCGTAGGGTTTGAACTGCCGACCTTTCAGTTAGCAGCCAAGCTCTTAACCACGGTGCCACCAGGGCTTCTCTCAAGTAGCAGGGGCACAAAATCTGGGATTGGAAATGCTAATACAACCAGCTCAAGAAATAACCAATTCAAAATAGCAGGTATTCTGATGGGAAATGTATGATTTCTTATTAACAAAAGCTATCACTTAAAAAATATTTTGCTACTATTTGGGTCTTGAAGAACTAAGTGACATGCCTTTGTTTTCAAAAGGGGATAAAAACAGCACTTCTGGGCAAGGGTAAGACCACTCAGCTCCCTCCTCAATCTTGCAGATGGGAAGGCCTACCTATATATACCAAAAATGTCTATCTTGAATATACTTAAAAAATTTATTTTGTTGATAAGGGGGGTTTTTGGCAGAGGGAAAGAGACAAGGAAAAGAGCTACCCCTATCGCTCTTTTAAAAGTTAATCTTATATCATTTAAAAATAATTTAAACGGGATATATTTAAATCAGATTAAATTAATAATATAAAGCTCACAATTGCAAAAGCAGAAATACATAGCTGAGATACGTCTCTAGTCTGGTAAGTGGGATCAGACTGATTTATAATTACTTTCTGAGTAGAAGCATGTCTTGATATATTTTATAATCACACACGGGACTCAGAAGTTAATTCTTTGAAATTGTAAGTTGATTTCTTAAATCTCCAAACTGTTAATAAACAGGCATATTATAACCTAAATATCCAGCTTCTTATTAAGAACAGAACATGGAAAATCAATAACCGAATATACACTGCCAAACTATCAATTACAGAAATAATCTCCTATATATTTAAGGATCACTTTTACTCTTAGAATATGGCAGTGATATGGAAGACAGGGGTAAATTTTAAGATGAGGAGAATGAAGAGCAAAAGGTAGACAGAGAGACATAAATAATAAACCTAGGAAGGAAGTTACACATGGTCCACAGAGGGTCTGCCCTTCCTTGTAGCAGAAAACTTCTTTCACCATTAAGAGTATTTTTGAGAACGGACTAATTTCCTTAATTCCTGAATTAGTGGTGGTAATATTAATTGAACTTTGCCTGCACCTTGCGACTTAAAAAATTCTAGATTAAAAAAAAAAAAAATCCCTCCCCCACATTTTAAAATACTTGCTGGAATGTTTCAAATTTACTATCTAAAGCTTAATACATATTTTAAAATTATACATCATATTCTCCTTACAGAAATATGACTATAGGTGAAACCATAAACATCTATATGTTAACTTGGACTCCATCCAGTAACCTGTCACCTTCCACCTTGTCACCAAGCGCATGTATTTAATAAATGCACACTGAAGAGCTTTAACGGTGAGCCAGACAAATACATCTCCCATGGTTTTAGAGACCTTCTACTGAAAAAGGCATCTACCAACTTAACTGGAGTCATGATTATCTGAGATTCAGGAGAATATTTGAATTTGAGGTGTGATTTTGTGCCTAAAATCTGGAATTAAAAAAAAAAGTATTCACTTAAAAAAGGGAAAGTGGGGAAGATCAGTTTGCCTGCATCTCAACAAACAGCTTTAGCTAATAGTTAAAAATACCTCTTTACAAATGTTTCCTAATGAGAGACTAACAGTAAAACAACCATCATTTCTAGATTTCTTAATGTTTTTCCAAACAATGGGAGAAAAGGTCATTAATAACTTCTGAACTATAAAAGTAAAACAAAACTCAGTATTTGTAAATTTTAAAGCAAATCAGTACTTTTTGATTAGAAATGATTTCTCAGCTGATAAATCACTTATTTTTCGCTCAAAAATTTTACCTAATGAAAAATAATTAACGAATTTAAAGACTGAGAGGGCCCCTGAGAGATCAGTTTATTCCTCTTACTTGCTTTGAGGAATGACTACATCAACAATGGAATAGAAACTGCCAACTGACTGAGGAATTAAGCCTTTCACAACATTGTTGAAGAATTTGTTGGAAATATTTTAGGTTCTGTGTGTGTGCACACATGCATACACACACATACACACACACATTTCTGGCTCTTTTTTTTTTTTTCCTACAAAAGGGGGAAACTCCCCAGGGTTCACCAGGTAGGCAAAACACAGACAAATTCCTTGAATTCTCCAAGGGAATGCTGGGTGAGAAACCTACTATAAAAGTCCTCTGAACACCAATAAGCACAAGATGGAAAAATATCTTTGATTTTGAAAAAAAGATAAAAGTAGAATAGGAAAGAACTCCAGATTAAAGAAACTATTTCATATGGAATGGACATCAGCGATAAATAATAATTATATTCTATTTGCCTGAAGCGCACATTACATTATTTAAACATACATTATCTAATTACGGATTAAGCAGAATGAGACGCTTGTTAGTACATGCTCAGAGGCAATGTGGTTAGTCAGTCAAGTTAGTGGACTCTGTACCTTCTCCTATGAATGGGAGGTCTCCTGACAACATCCCCAAGAACTCGCATTGAACTGAAAATGAATGATGGAAGAGGTCAGTGTCGCAAGTGAAACAAAATGGGAAACAACTGTACCAAATACAGACACCACACTGGGAAGAGAGACAACCTCTAAGGAGAAATAGCCAAAGTAAGGGAATGAAAGAATGTGGAATGAGAGAAATATCAGAACCAAAAAAGTCTGACAATTTCTAGGAGAGCCACTTTGCTCCCTCTTTGCTCCATGGAGTTAATCAGATGATAATGAATAGGTTTACTAAATCCTAAAAGTAAAAAACACTTAAGAGTATGTAAAATCGGGAAAAAAATTGTCATTAAAAACTTTAATTTCTTAAGTCTTTAAAATTCAGGAATATGTAGATAATATTAAAAGAATTAGTCAAACTAATTAAAGTGACCATTACAACCTCTTAATCTAAAATAATCTAAAAAGTATCTCCAGATTTTTAGCATGGTTGTGCTAGGTAATCCTTGATTTTAAGTCCAAATATGAAATTCCATGACATTATATAGGTTGAAAATATAAATAACTTTGGTGATATGGTTCTAGTTTCAGTTCAGTCTTTTTAAAAAAATTTGGTAACTCTTTTTTTTTTTTCAGTTCAGTCTTAAGATCATCATGTAATCTTGGGCAAATCATTCAATTTGAGCTTCAATTTCCTCACCTGAGCAAGATGATCCATAAAGTCACATCTAGCTCTGAAATCAAAGGCAAAGGGATTCGTAGCAGGTTATGAAGAAAAATGGATTATACATAAAATAAATCCCAGTTCCTTAACACTATCATTAAAGACTAATATGTCCTGTCAAGGAACTACCCTTGTTTCTGGAAGAGAATTCTGGCTGGAGGGATCATTCCTTATCTTCGTATTTTTTTATACGTGTGAATGCTAAAAACAAAGTAGCACAGCATGAATAAAGCTGAAAAGAAAAGCTCTGAGAAATTGCTTTTTATATAATCTAGGATTTCAAACATACATAAAGACTATGTACAAGATAAAGCACACCAATTATTTTGATGCTCGGCAACCTGAACCCCACCACAGACTAATATGGAATCGCAGAAAGAGCACTTGACTAAGGGACTGGAAGCCTGGATTCCACTGACCTTCGGTAAGTGACTTAACCTACCTACACCAGTCTCCTCATCTGTAAAAATGGGGGTCACACCACTTGACTCATGGGAAGATTAAAAAATTCTATAAGACATTGCGTTACTAAAGGAGTCTGAAAAGATTAGCAAATTAGAAAGTGTAAGGTATTACTATAAGCTCCATGAAGGCTGGGACTTTAGTTTACCTCTGTATTTCCAGAACCTAGAACAGTGCCTGGCATCGAGTAGGTGCACAATACGTTTGTCAAATAAAAGAATGAATGAATGAATGTGACTAGATTCCATGTACTTACTCATAAATTTTGAGCTATAATATCATAAAGAGGTCCAGGAATTAAAAAAAAAAAGCAAATACTTGCTCCAACTGAGTTGTTTACATCAACTATTTTTTTTAAGAGGAGTACAGCAAGGAGGAAATCAACTGTCAGTCTCCCCACTCAGTGGCTTTTCTTCATTAAGAGAGTAGCTCTGGAGTAAGCACACCCTTGTAAGCATAATATGCAGATCACAGCATTCTGTTCTTTAGAACTAAAACCACCTGCTTAAATTGATCTAGGCAGCCAACAGTAAGAAGCCAAATCCAACTTATCTTCTTATAGTTTGCTTCCAAACTAAAGGGAAGACTAGGTCACATGTATGAAAGTCCCCAACACCGTATGACATATGGGAAAATATCAATGATTTAATGATTTTTTTATGCTCTATTGAGGATTAACACTGAGAATTTAGAGTTTATCAACACTTCAGAAACAGACGGCTTTAATTCCTGTGATGTAATTTGAAAAACTTAGATGTGTTGAGACTATAAGATTTCATATTTATTTCTTAATTCAAAATTGACTTAAAACTACTCCCCTATTATTTCTAGATCTATGGATTTCATTGACAAAGCTGGCAAGAATAAATGTTACCATTTATAAAATACCTACTATGTGACATGTTATTTCACTTTATTATCGCAAATATTCTGAAAGGCATGTATTTTACAGATAAGAAAATTAAAACTCTGAGGGGTCAAGCAACTTGCCCAAGGTCATCTATGTAGTAAGTTGTTTCCCTGATTCCAAGGGCCATATTCTTTCTTCTGTACCATGCTATCTTCTAAAATCTTTGCCAACTGAAATATCAAATGAGCAACTTTTCAAAAGCAAGCAGACATTGAGAGACTGGACAAAGGGCCTTCCATCTCACCTCCGTTGGTTCATTTCTGCATCACTGGCTGCATTCTTCCCAGGACCCCAGCTGTGCCTCCGGAAAGGGGACAGAGAGCGCATAGAGCCCCTCAGAACAGAGCAATTTGCAGGCACCTCAGTGATGCTGTCCATCTCCTCCTCTTCCATTTCACCTGAGCCAGTAGGCTCACTCTCACTCTCTAGTCTCTCGGCTCCCATCCCATGGCTGTAGAAGCCATCAAGGCTTTGCGGATCCTTGGACTTGTTCAAATTTGAAATCTGGGGGAGGGACACATCACTGCCATGAGAAGAATGTCGATCCAGGGAAGCCGTGTCATCAGTGGAAGAACTGGATCCAGTAGTATCACAGACCAACTGCTCTTCCTCGGGCTGTAATGAAGAAAAAGCACACATGGTTAAAAATGGTAGGACAAAGCAGACCACCTCAGTTATTTCAGATGGAGCAAATGGCTTCATAATGGGTCTGAGATGGGTAAGATCACAATTAGGCTTCCAGACACAGATTTTTTTTTTAAAACACGATCATAGTTGGATTCATGTACTCATAGCCTCCAGTAAAGTAATGGTTTATCCTTTTTCTACTCTCTTACATTAGTTCACCCACACTAGATCTTTTTTTTTTGCTTCCCTACAAAGGAAAAAGAATCTAACTCAGGTCAGTTGTTTCAGTCAATATCATCAACTGAAATGAAAGGAACCCATCTGTCTCTGGGGTATCTACTAAGTGAAAACTCTAAATTCATGTCATATTGTCTAATTTTTTCACAAGCCTTAACTGAAAATGAGGCAATCTGCCTGGCTACAATAATCATGTGCTGATGATTGCTCTTAGTGGCCTTTTGGAAAATGCATAATAGCTTAAGACCCCTACATAATGCCTGTCACAAATACCCAAATATCTGTCACAAATACTTAAGTGGAAGAAAGCTATTCCTTTTTCTCATTTCACTAAGAATTTGCTGAGTGTTATCAAGCCAAATCATACATAAAAAAATCAGTACTGGCAATGGGGTCTTTGATAGAGTGATGATGCCCTTTCCCGGGCCAACCTCTAGAGCTTGCAGGGAATGCACAACTTTGGTCCCAGCAGCCTGACACACACTACTAGTTGAAAGACATCAGAACACATAATTTAATGGGTGAGGGAAAAAGAGCTTCACAGCATCCCACAGACCCAAAGATAAATAAAAGTGTCTAAGAGATGTAAAGATAAGTATAAACATGATCACACTATCTGTTACAGATGTGAGCACTGCCTTTATGTCTTTATTTTGTACTCTTACAGAATAGGAAGCAGGGAATAGGGAAGGGCACCCTGTGATATTTTTCTTCTTCATAGCATTTTCCTAATTAGCTTGTCTACTCAATGTTTTAATTAAGAGCGACAAAACTTACAGTTCTTAGAGAAGGACAAAAAAATTTATGAGAGCAAATGAGTCCTTTCAGTCTTGGAATACAGAACCAGCCGCCATCCCACAAGTCTCTTTAAAACGTTAATACGCCACTTCAAAAGCACACTATCTTCTTTATACCTTCTGGACTAGATCTTATCGGTAAATAAGAGATTTCTTTCACTTTACAGAAATCAGGTTCTTAGAGTAACTGATCTTTAAACAATGTGTGAGGGATGAGACTGAGAAAGAAGATGCAAAGGGACCACCGAACAGGTCAGGAAATTGAGGCCCACAATGTCTAATGGATTCTCCCAAGTACACAGTCCAAATAAAAAAAAACCAAACTTGTTCCCCGAGAGTATGGCCCCCAGACACCCTTTTAGCTCAGTGGTGAAGGAACTTCAGAGGTTCATCATTCAGCCAGGGATTGGACAGCCCCATAAAACAAAACAGGACTAATGAGGCACAGCAGCAGTCCAGGGACAAGGGCTAGAAGGCAGAAGGGGACAGGAAAGCTGGTGATAGGGAACCCAAGGTTGAGTAAGGACAGTGTTGATGTGT